CATTCTCTATTCAGCATTCAAGGTAAGTTATCATTTTCGGAGCTCTTTTATGACCGATTACATTGTTCATGTTTGTTAAAGCCACAGGTGATGTCTATCGTCCTAGTCGAAATGGAACATACATTCAAATTTTCAACAAAGCAAATCCATCAACTCCTGAATGGCAAGCAGATTGTGGATATTCATCAGATTGTATCTATTCTGGACAAACTGTTCTTTTCTATGTCCGAAATGCTAATTGGGTTTATGGTGCGACTTATTATATTTTATTTTCAAGTGGAGCTGCATCGGGTAATATATTTTGTAGTCCTGAATCAGATCCTATTACAGGTAATCTTCTTATATTATGATGTGAAACATTCTAGGAAATGTTTTTCTCTCACTTCAGATACAAGCTATTGGAATTTCAACATTTGGGATCCAGCTGTTTCAAGTACGACGACAACGACAACAACTCCACCAACAACTGGTACTGTAACAACACGAGTAAGTTTTGTATTCGGCATATTATAGTAATAATATGAGTACTACACTTTATTGTTTGCATTAGCCTCTATTAACTACAACCCCCAATGCTAGTTTGACTACGACTGGCATTATAATCACAAGCACATCGACTGTACAGACAACAACAGTAACAACAAGTACAACAACAACGACATCAACAACAACTGGTAAGCCTTGAAGTCATATGAGGGAAACACTGTCTTTTATGTTTTGTGCTAGGCGTGACAACAACAATATCAACAACAACAGAAACTGAAATGGATGTGTTATCAGCAAAAGAGTTCGAAGAATATTGTAAACAACCAGTTGCAATTGGAATTGTTGTATCAATGATCGTGATGGTTCCAGTAAACATCATAGGGATGTTTGCTTTTTTTACTAAACTTGACAAAATGTTTAATCCAAATCGTCTGGCAGTCAATGCTCGACACAAAATTTTTGTCAGTCGAGTGTCTTAGTATGGTCGATGATGACGGGGGCATAATGTTGAGAGTGAACAATATATATTAAAAGTGTGACATTTTTTTTTCTTCTGTACGATACAAATATATTACTTGTGTGATTTGAAGCTGCTATTTTACAGAGATATATTGTTGCTCTCATTTTTATCTTCATAAATAAAATCATTTTTTGTGACTACACAATATCAATTTTAACGTGTTCCGTAGCTTGCTATGCTCATCGAGTGATAAATGAGATGAATTTGATACTTAATGACAAGTTAAATTTCACTAGGCGGTGCCTTGGTAACCTGAAAAAAATAATATTCGTAGACTTCAAGTGACTTATGGTGTAAGTCAGTTTAGGTTTTATTGTTGTTATTTCTTCAATTCATATAGAGTAAAAGAGAAATGGATCGATTTCAGCTTCATATCCATGATCGAAACATGCCAAAATTAGATATACTTATCCTTAATAAGCTGCTTTTTTATGTGGTTTACTTACAGGTTAACACGTTTGTATGACATGCGCATCACTGTATTTTTCATATGTGTACCACCGATTATCTTTTGAAGCTACTCGATCAGATTAGTAATGTCATGCTACACAGACATAATGATATCAGTATTAAATTGTTTCGATTATTTCGAATACGTAGATAACGCTAAGCATAATGAGTTACTTTTCTATAATCTGTTAATGCATGTGTTAACAAATTTCTTAGTTTCCGAAATCTAATTTTAGTATTATAGTTAGTTCTTTATTGTTGAACTGTCATATAGAAAATCAGACTTTTTCAATGTCTTATTCATATTTGATACAGAACGTTTTTCTTTGTGTGAGATTCAGAAACCATGTGTTCCCACATTTGTATCCTCATATTGATATTGAATCTTCAAGTCATTTCTTAACGTAGAAAATAAATTTTCTTCTGAATAAACTGGAGCTTTATTTTTTTTTGTTTATAATAATAAATTAAAGAAAAATAATGTTTTATTAAGGAGAAAATGAAAACTCATTGGCTTCTATGACAATCAGTATTCTTATAACGCTTCAAGATTTATCTGTTGTATTAATAATAGTTCTATACTTTTTCCAAAAATATTCATAGCACTACCTAGGAGACATTGCACGAAAGGGACGATCCAAATGACGGATCACGTGCTCAATCGATCTCACCAATTTCGATGAAATTTTGCCAGTATGCAGCCCTAAGTGAGATATGAAAAAGCGTAAAATTTTTCCGCCGAAAACCTTTCCCTTATTGAGATATTGTAATCATAATGAAGGCATTCTCAGCTAAAAAATGACGATAAGCAACGTAGTATCCACTCGGTGTACACTTCGCCCTTTTTCAACCATGATGTCTTTTGATATGTTACTTTGTGGATATATACTAACCTTAGTACCCTATAGACTGACGCAATCAAAACCACTTTTTCACTCGTTACACGGTATAGAGGTATTTTATAGGTTTTAGATATGCTCTCCATATTGTAATTAGGATTTCTATCGCTTATGAGCGAGTCATGAGCTGCCGCTTTGAAACTAAGTACTACTGACTCTCAGCTATTAGCAGCAATTTTCAAAACCTTGGGTATTTTTTACCCGAACAAAACCTTTTCTATTATATATAAAGGCTAGTTTGAGTAAAATTGGGGTCCACTGCTAGAAAAATCGCTAAGTAGAGATCAGCAGATTCTACTCAGTTTGAGATATGTTGTAGAGAGAAGAGTTTTAAGAATTTTGACGCAAACCATTTCAAAAAATATTCTTCTGTTATCGAGATATTGAAATTTTTATTAGAGCAGTATCATCATGCAACAATCACATTTTTAATGATTTGAATGATCTGATATCCCAAGATATAGAATGTATAGAATTCAGACTCATGTGTATTTGAAGTATCCACTGAGTACTGCAAAGTTATGAAAAAACTTCCATGAGATCTCTTAGAATGTTCGGGATTACTCGTTGAAAAATACTGAAAAATGAAACCTCTCTATAGAAAAATCATCCGAGGTCACTTAGAAATTACTCAAAGAGTTTCATCATATGAGATAAATTATAGCTATTAAAAATCAGCATATGATCCTCTATTACCCTGCGTAAAAATACTCTTTTAATACGAAACAAATTGTTTTTCAAAAATCCCCGTGGGAGGTACGGGGATTTCCAGCAAAATGCCTGGAGGGGGTAGAGGACTTTTTGAAAAAAAACTTTTTTCCTTTTTAAAAGAGTGTTTTCACGGAAGGTAATATAGGATCATATGTTGATTTTTACTAGGTATAATTTATCTCATGTGATGAAACCTCTTTGAGTAATTTCTAAGCGAGCTCGGATGATTTTTCTATAGAGAGGTCTCATTTTTCGGTATTTTTCAACGAGTACCCCGGACCATTCTAAGAAATCTCGTGGAAGTTTTTTCATAACTTTGCAATTCCTTTAAACAGTATATTACAAAATAAAATTCGAATGTTACTTTAAATTATTTCCACATACTGTAAATAGTTAGAATAAAGTTGATAATAATCATTTTATGTAAAAAGAAAAAGAAAAACTATATTACAAATAATTTATCAATATAGTGGAACATATGTGTTCGTTTCTTAGTTGAAAACTTTTCTTTTGTTCATTTTAATAATGAAATGTTATCAGTAATTCTATCACTATCATTTGTTTATTGTGTATTCAGTAATTAATAATTCTATTGAAGAGAGTTATCTACCTTGAAATCAATGACAGTCAAAAATAATTCATATCGACAGCATAAATTTTGAGATCATTTACTCTCATTTGTATTTTATTGTGATTAGTCAGTTAGGTCGATAATGGCAATACAAAGAGGAAAAGTTCTAACGTATTTTCATTATAAGAAATTTTACTAACGTTATAATAAATGTCAGCAAACTCTTTATTTTCTTTTTTTGTTCTCAAAAATAATCTCGATTTTAGTTCAACTACGACTACTAATGGCAGGAGTTGTGAGAATTCATGATAAAGTCAGCAATGGATAACGAATAATTTGTATATATGTAATATATTAAAATGAATGGACCAATTATTTGGGCACTGTCTGATCCATATACGAATTCAAAAAGTATAGAAATCATTCTGTGTACATTCATCACATTCATGAGTTTTAACTATCATTTGTGACATATATATATACAGGTTTTTTCAATTCTGTCTGTAACACATATTCTTGGACCTTCTCTATAACAGGCATTATTCCTTTCCTTTACTATGCATTGTAATTAGTTGTTCATATTGATCAACAGGATTCTTCTCTTTTCACTTTTGCTGTCATGGGATGGCGTATTTTCATCTGATGATCGAGACTATCATCATCTATATATATATAGCAACTGATCTTAGATCGAAGATGTGATAAAGAATATGTGATAATTGACGTTATTGTTATTTTCTTTTCCTTGCTTTTCCCCTTTTCATCTATATCTCTACAAAGGATTAACATCCTAAATCTTATCTACCCCACAACAGTAGAAAAAATATTTCTACAAATACGTATAATTAGCCAACAGTAGAAATAGATCTTTTTACTAGAGGCAACATGCTCTATAGTCTTCTTTCAGCAAACGAATTTCTATAACTTGACAAGGAACAGAACTAAAGTATTGACATTTCTGTCAATATAATTGGTATCAAACAAGACTAGAAAAAAAACTTTCTGACTTTTAGTATGCATTACGACTGACCGACGGATTTTGTAATATGGTACATTATGTATGCACTAGGGAGACAAAATAAAAATATTCATAACGTTCGAAGGAAGAAATAGAAAATCTAATCCTTTATGGAGTTTTTACTACAACACTATATAGGATCTATAAGCAATATATTATTGAAATCTGAGAGAAATACCTGAGAAGATTCTCCCATAAGACTAATCTTTAGATTCAATCATATAACGTATACTTTGCCTGTATCCATAGGAATAGCATACGTTGACTACTACACTACTCCAAATCGTATTTTAACAATGGCTGGTATCATTATGACAACTATCCCACTTATACAAAGTAATAAATGCAATCATAAGAACTACTAATAGTAATAATTTGAATGATCTATGATAAATACCTTTCTTTTTTGTTTTGTCTGAGAAAGAACAACCACATCAGATATTGATGTGACTATAGTATCAATACTTCAAATATATATACTGAACATGTTTATTGTTGTTATCAGACTTGGCAAAATGTTTAATC